AACCTCCATTCCCTTTTTGATCCAGCTAACCTTATAAGGGTGAGGGTTACTAGTGGTTTTCAAGTGCAGAGCTTGAACCACTGTTCGAGAAATAACATTCTCAGTACAACCGCTATCAATCAAAACTTTGCACACTTTTCTCTGGATGGTGCAACGGGTCTTGAACAGTGCATTTCGCTGTGAATGAGTAGGAGCTCGTGGTGCTAACAACAGTTTTTGTATGACACAAACAACGTGATCACCATCGTCACCGTGGATGTCTTCAGCTCCATTATCTGAGTCGGGCTCAGCCGAGACATGATCTCCACCTACCATGTGTTGTTTCCCATCCACACATTACATCTGCTGCCTACTCGGACACTCATTAGACTTGTGCCCCGGTTGGAAACACCTAAAACACTTCAGGGTGTTAGGCTTGCTATAAGGATTTTCCCTTGATGGTAAAGGGACTTTGAGTTGATTTCTTGGCTCGGTAGCAACGCCCTGACCTTGAGTGTGTGGAGCATTGGTTGTGGTACGTGAAACTTGGGGAGTTCTAGCTCCACATTGTGGACCCTTGGTAGTATCGGCATAAGAATCACCATAATTCCTTCTCGCCGAATGGCTACGAGAATGACGCATTAATTGCGTTTCATCCTTCAAGGAAAAATTCACAGCCTAACTTAAGGTCCATACAGAATTAAGCTCCAACTTATCATGTATTAATTCTTTGAGGCTGCCAATATACCGAGCGACAAGCTGATTCTCATATTCTTGGAGATTGTTTTGAGCACTCAAGCGATAAAATTCTTCAGTGTACTCGTTCACAGGGCGTTGACCTTGAGTGCATTGTTGGTATTGAAGGTAAAACATCTGTTCATAGTCAGTAGGAAGAAAATGGCTCAGAAGGAGTTGATTCATTCGAAACCAGCTGCGGATCGGCCCTCGATCTTCCCGGTGACGCTTTTGGAGCAACTGTTGCCACCACGCGCTGGCTCCGCCCTTCAAACGACACGCCACATACTTGGCTTGCTTGTCGGGGGCAATCTCCATATATTCAAAAAATGATTCAACTGCCATCTCCCAATTCAAATAATCTTTAATATGCAATCGCCCTTCAAAGAATGGGATATCTAATTTGACATGAAATTCCCCTGAATTGCCATGGTGTTGCCCACGATGATGGGGGCGATCATAATATCTGAGTTGTCCATCATCTACAGAATCAACCACTTCCTATCGCGGCCTGAATTCCACTTCCTCATCGGAGTCTGTAATCTCCTTAAACATAGTCCTGGCTGGTCGGTGAGGCCCTATCAGGTCTAGCGGAGCCCTCGCCTGGCCCATCGGAGCCCTCGGCGCCTGAATGGGCACAGGTGGTTGTTGGACCATACTAACAGAAGCCTTGAGATCCATCATCTCATCGCACAGATCAGTAGATAGGAGGATGAAGTCCGCCCGCAGATCAGTGAGTTGTCGTGCGAAGCCAGCTTGTGCTGCCCACACAGCATCCAAGCTCCGATCGTCGTCAAGAGCTTTGCGAGACGTTTCTACAGCCATTACTCAAATGCCGGCTCTGATACCAACTGACAAACTCACCCGCTGTACGCGTAGAAGTTGACACCTGGACACCGCTGTTCACCAGAGCTTAACCTACAAGAAACTTAGAAAACCAGAAACAATAGAACAGTAGTTCTAAGAGAGTAATTCTTGTTGTATATATTCAGTATAATTCCCTTTTGTGTTTATATATGAGTGCCCCTCTCTACTATGTAACTAACAAAAAGAAACAGAGAACGTGCACAATGGAAGATAGTGACCACGGTAGTGGAATTGTGTGTGTGTGGTATTTTGTTCCTGCAGAATAGATTAGTCCTCATCATTATATATTTAACTTAACTATAGTTTCAATACATGAAATAGACTCAATTGTTCCTTGGTTAGGCTAATTGGCCCAACTTAGAAAAATAAAACCTATATGATCTACTTAGCCACTTTGACCAAATTGATCTAATTTGATCAAATTGATTCAACCTATCACCTTGGATAAGTTCATCACACAATAATAGAGGCTAATTGACCTTTAATTTTACCTAATTAGCCTAATTATTGCACCTTATTCAAAGTGAACCCAACACTCAACCCTTTTGAACCCATTGGAACAACTTGATCATATTACTTCAATTGGCTCAACATGAACCTTCCATAGGGTGTCCAAAGCTAGTTAGTAGTCTAATTGATCCCTAAAACCCTTGACCCTAGTTTGCTCACCCATAGAGTAAATTTTGGCCAGATTTATTCCATTTTAAACAAATAAACTAGGTGAACACACCATAAAACTTCCATAAGATATCTATAGGTTAAGCTCAATTTAATTGATCAAATTAATTCCATGGATTAAAAAAAAGGAACCACAGAAGTCAATTTAATTAAAGTGAACAAAAAATAGGTTTAATTATATCAAACCACTTCAATGCTCCAACTTGGCTTAACCCAAATTCATGCCAAGTGATCAAAAGGTTTGTCAAAATTGGCAAATTAGGTCAAGTTGATCCAATTAGACTACCCATTCATGTCCAATTTGACCAAATTGCCTTTAAATAATTGAATAGAAGCAGAGCACTTCCTTGGGGGGGTTGACACTCTCTCATATCACTTTTATTACTTTATTGAAACATGCACTTGCATTTTTAGTGGGAATTTATATCAAATAAAATCTAATTATAACTCAATCCATAATAAACATACTTATACAAATCCTGCAACACTCACCTCTTAAGTGAAATTGGAATGACTCTACTCAAATTATTTACTTGCCTAGATTTAATTTTTCCCTCATTTTGTATTTTTTTATCATATAATTTGATGTAATAGTTTAAATCTATATTTTTTAATTATTGAAAAAAAGTTGGAATATTTTTGTAAAATATTAGTTAGTAAAGTCTCTAGGGTGGGGAGCTTGTGACTAAGACCTTTTCCCCTTATATTCTCATTGATAGAAGACCTAGGAAATTTTTTTATTATTGCTTATCTATTTCCTCACTCTCTCTCTCTCTCTCAATGCTTTATTGATTATTTATCATCTTCCTAACATCATCTCAAAAGCATTTCTCTATAACCTAAATCCTTTAAAAATCCCTAAACCTCTCTTGAAGTCCTTTGTGACAACTAGGGTTCTCTTATCCTAATTTTGGCCCTCCCTCTTCCATCACCCTCAAAATACTTTGGATCTCCATCATCTGCTCTACATTTAATGTCAACACAATGTTGTAACATTCTATATCAATTCCATTCCCTCAATACACCCTTAAGCCTTGCCACTAACACTATATTTTAAGACTAGATAAATTGTACCCAAACTAGGTCCCCTTAATCTTACTATAGTATTTTTTCCATTCTTTGGCCTCTAAATCACTTAAAGCTTCGTCAACAACTTTAGATTATATAAAGATATTACCCTAACATTCTCAAGTGGTTATGTGATTTGAATCTTCCATCATAAGAAACCCTATATCCAATCATTCCCTAAGGTGAACTCTGGGTTGGCAAAAAAAAAAAAACTCTGGGTTGGCCATTATCTCACCTCTTGGTCAACCCATTCCCTTCAACCAATACCTCATATTAAAATATTTGAATCATTGAAGAGTGTTTCCTGTAACCTAGCATCCCACAAAAGCAAGAGAAAGCTTGGATCATCCCTTCTAAGGCCAGCTTAATTTCCCTGTAGTCATAACCTTTGGGACTAGTCTATTTGCTACAAATGTTGGTTATGTTGCATCAACTCCACTTGACTCAAAAAAATATTCTCTAAGAGTTAAAGTCTATGCAGTTATCCAAAATATATGGAACTAAGCTTTATAGCCCCTCACTAATTATCCAAGTATGTTTCAAAGCTAGTAGATTTTTCCATATTATAAGGAATTTATGCTGATTAATGCCATTATGGGGACTTCATCTAAAATAATGTGTCCAACTTAAATAATATAAGTGTACAATGCATTTGATTTTGGGCAAAATGCTAACATATAATAATGTTAGTCTTTTGATGAATATCAACAAAATCTTTTGCTAGCCTTTCTTTAGGGAGGACGGATAACATAAGTGTTTAACTAATGCTATGACTTTATGCCTCTCAAAGTGATCAGCAAATCCTCCACTATGTAGTTCAAAGATAACCAACAATTCCTTTACTATATAGTTCAAAGTGCTAGAAAGTTATATAAAAGAGCATGAGATTTATAATACTTAGGAAGTTTTAAAAGAGTTAGACAATATGGATGAACATTTACAAATCAAAAGCTAGAGAATTACAAAAGAGTTTGAGAGCTATAAAGTTTGAAGAAATAAGAAAGAAGAAGAATGGCAAGCAATCAAAATCTAAAGATTTACAAAAGAAAATGAGAGTTGCACTTAATAAATATTTTCACATATTGCAAAATTCACTTAAGAACATCTCCAACCGAACTGCATACAGTAGTATGTCATATGTCATTCACTCCATTCGAATCTTAAATTGCACGTCAAATTTTGGTAGGTGAATATTGTGACGCCAATATTGGTGTTGCACTGTTCACATGCAACAATTTTTTGTATTAATGGATTTGCCGAAGAAGTGTTCGAAAGAGGAGAAAGATGATTAACTTCGCAGCGAGATGAAGGAACGTGCAAAACGGAGAAAGAAATTGAGCTGAATCTGCATTTTGGAGTGGAAAATGTGTTTTTCAGTCCATATATGGAGAAATTTTTCTCTGTGCGGAGACCAGACGTAGAATGCCGTCCGGAGACCAACTAGAATGCGCCACGTCAGCGGTATCGAGCTGAGGTACTTAGTGGTACAGAGCCACCATACCGAGCACAGGGTGACGTGGCACATTCTGATTGGCCTTTGGATGACATTCGGCATTGGGCGTCGCACAGAATAATTAATCTCATATATGAATTCCCAACACCACTCACTGCATCCTGTTTAATGACAAATTTGCCCTTCTCATTCCTCTTATTGCCCAAGATAACATATTCTTTGTTCACCTGAAACGCCATGGAAAAGTTCAGTGCATCCCTCCATGGCAATCCCGCTATCTCTCTGCCATCCGTCTATGCCTCCTCGCCTGAATCATTCTCTTACCTCTCAACTCGGACTACGGGCGGCGGGCTTCCTCTGTTGGCCTTTATCGAGGCGTGCGGCCATTCTCGAGATTGCTGCCATCACCCTATCCTTAACCTTACCGGCGTCTGCTAATGGCTCATCTTCTCCGAATGCAGCTCTAGATGGAATTTCCAACACGAAATCCTGGTTTCAGTACTTTGGCGATGGATTTTCCATCCGCATCCCTCCTCTCTTCGAAGACATCATGGAGCCTGAGGTGAGACACTAGGAGTGCAATGAGATTAGCATTGTTCACCTTTTCCTGTTACTATCGTTATCATTCTTATAGCTTGTTTATTTAATTTTATTTCTTTGCTTATGATGCGGCGTGTCTTCATGAGACATTGGCATGTGATAAATTGCTTGAAGTGGGTTTTGTTTGAAAACGGCGGTTAACGAAATTCTCAATTAAGAATTTTTCGAAATTTCTGAAGCCTCCATGGGTAGGGTTTTGTCTTTTTTATCATTGTTCTACTGGCTTTCACAGTTTTTTCTACATGTTCAGGTTGAGAAAGCCGCTATTATGAAGGCTAAAAAACCTTTTGATATAAAAGGCTCTCTTGGATTCATAGTTGTGGTCAAGATTAACCTGTTTAATGCTCTTTGATTCATAATTGGATGGAAGTAGGACTCCAATTGGTGGTTGTGTGCTCCTTAAGAAAAACTCCAAGGTATTTTTGTGTGGAAACCCAAGATATTATCTCAAGAGGAAGATTGATATTGCAATTGAATTTCCGTCCATGTCCGTGGTTGTTTAGATCTATGCCTTGTGGTTTCTTATGGGCACTAGCCTTTATAATTAATTATATTTCAAGATTGCAGTATTGCTCTCAACTAAGGTGATCACTCAGGCTTAAGCTTGCAGAATGATTGTTTATGACAATGAAACTTATAAACCCTATCAAGTTTTGTGATTTCATCGTTCAGAGTTTTATTATGTCAAACTTAACCTAAAAAGTTAGGGAGCCTTGGCTATGACAAAGTAGCTGCAAGTTAAGGAGCTATATAATGCATCTACAGACATTTGGTCATGGAGCTTCTGACTATCAACATCGAGGAATTGAGCTTGTTATGATTTTTTTGTTATTGAATCAGTAAGCCTTAGTTATAATTGTGCCTTGGTTGCAAAAACGGTTTACCTCATCTAGGGAGATTTCTCAGGTGGAGCTTTCATGTAATATAGATGTGATGAAAGAAAGTATTATCACCCCATTGAGTGCAAAAGGCCCTTGAGCCTATGATTAATTCTCCTTATGGCATATTGATGCTTGGGCTTGTATTTCACTATAGTAGATTTAATATTACCCATTAAGATGGTGATGTGCTATAATGTCAAAATTGATGTGCTCATATACCAAATTGATGTGTTCTTGTTGAATATTTTGATTTCTTCTTTCTTCATTCTTGACTTACCGTATATTGCATCTTTTCTCCTTTAATTATCTCTTCAGATGCAAAAGAGTTAATAGAGAGAAGATCGGTTGAGGTTTGGTACAAGGCGAAGTTTTGGGAACTCATTTGAACAATGAGAATTGGAGGAGAGAGGAAATAGAATAGAGTAAAATGAATTATATTGAATATTTTGTTTGTATAACTTAAACCAAAGACCTAAACCTCATTTTGATCAATAAATGACAATTAGACGACGGATTTCCAAAAAACAGCCTCAACCGTTTCACCTTTGCATACTTTTGAAGCAGCTTTAATGAGAAAGGCATCAGTTTTTCTGAGCAGCTGTAACATTACAAACAAAGCCTTAAGTTTAATGTCTTGTCTGCTAAACTGGTGAACCAAATGCTTATGTATAAAAGATTTTTATGCCAAACTTTAAAGTTTCCCGCTATATACTTTGTATTACTTTTTGTTACCATATGTATTACAACAATGCAGTAAATGTTTGATCCATTTCTGTTCTTTAGGACTTCAGTGCTGGACAAACACTTTATGGTGATAAGGCAAAACCTAAAATGTTTGCTGCTCGTTTTGCGTCTCCTGATAGGTCTGTGTTCATGATGCTTTCTACTCCCTCATAAGTAGTGATACGGTACCATTTTCTTTCTTTTAATCAATAAAAATTCTCAATTTTGATGTCATATTTGTGAGTGTGTTTCCAAATTAAATTACCATATACGATGAATGTAGTCTCTTTTTGTACTTAAGATGTTATCATACTTATAGTAAGTTTAAGATCATTTATACTTGATGATTGATACAAATGGGTTAAATTTCAAAAGAGAAAATGATCAAAATAGTCAATTGACTCTTTATGAAGACAAAATGGTCCCCAACTATATTCTAGGATCATTTGAGTCCCTCAAATCTTTAAAAAAGATCAAAATAGTCTCATAGTGGGGCTTTTTTTGTTACTCTTTTAAGAGATGGGGGACCAAAATGATCATTTTGATTTTTCATAAAAAGTCAAGAGACCAATTTGATTCTTTTCTCAATTTCAAAATAATATTTCGTTTTATTCGTATATGTCCATTTTAGTTCAAGAGTATAGCGCTACTCCAATTTAATCCCTTAAATTGATCCAAAATGATCCCTTTGAGACTAAATTAGGATCAATTTTATATCAAAATTATAACATGAGGGACTATTTTAAATTAATTTTGTATAGTCGAGGGACTAAATGGGGCAACGTGATATCCTGGAACTGAATTGGTTATACACAAATAGTCTGTAGATTATTTTAAATTTTTTCTTTGATACAAAGTCTGTTATAATTGGGAAATTATTTTTTTAGTGTCTTTCCTCAGTTTTTATGTTGTTCCTTTAATTTCTTGTTTTACTTCCTCATTCCACATAATCAGTGAAGCATTGCTTGTACTATTCTATACATATATCAGCCTTAAATTATTCTTATTCTTATTTTGGGGAACAAGTAGATTTTGATCCGATCCATTCATATTCAAAATTTGTTTGAACAGATACTACTTGCTTGGAATTAGTTTGTCCCTTGAATTTGTTCATTTTTGAACTAGCTTAGTCTAATTGTTTTAATTTGGAGCCCGATCGATTTTGAATTTATCTAGGTTGAAATCAATTATTATTATTTACCTTCTTAATTGTTTAATTTATCTTGTATCCACATGTATATATTAAACCAGTTGCAAGTTGGCTTGTTGCAGTTTTGTTCCAGCTTGAAATAGGCTCAAAGATCAGATCGAGAGAAAAATTAGCATTTTAGCTCCATTCCGGGTCAATCCAAATTTGAAATTGATTCAATTTTTTAGCTAAACTAACAATCTTGTTTCTTATGGAACAGAAGGGCTCTATGATATTATTAGGTGAATTTAGAATATTTTGTATTATTTCTTCAAAATATTAAATTGAATCATTCAAATTAAAAGTAGAACCTCATTATATCATTATCTAGTTGTAATAGCTCCAATGGAATATAAGATTAGAGCGAGTCGTCTTAGATGGTGAAAAAACTAGAGTAGCTCCAGTGGAAGATACGATTAGAGCGAGTCTCCTTAATGGTTTGATAACATAAAACGGCGGCCTCTCGAGGACCTGGTTTGGAAAGTAGAAGTATTATAGTTGGCTTATGTTAAGAAGGATAGAGGTGGACCTAAAAAGACAAAAAATATTAAAAATAATAATTCTTTATTAGATTTAAATGAGAATTTAACTCTTTACAAAACACAATAGAGAAACATAATTCATGTAGCCGACCCTACGTAGTGGGATAAATGCTTGATGATGTTTTTGTTGTTGTTGTATTATATCATTATCTAATTATTTGTGATTTCCAATATATTTTCTTAGTTATATGTGTTTAGAATCTTAACTTATATTAACAAGGACATGCATCTTTGTTATAGATGCAATTTTGACACTTGAAATATCAATTTTTCTTATATCTTTTGTTAAATTGAACTAGTAAAAGAAGTTCTAGGATATCTCTTTAATTTGAATGACTGTTTTGGACAACAACACGAGACCCTTTTTCATTTCTAACTTAATGCACTGTTGTAATTTCCATGTAACTTTTATCATATATCTTACTATTACCCATTCTCCAAGATGATATATGTAGCATGCAAATAGTCGTGATCAAATGATCTTCAAGAAATTATCTAAAGCTTATTACAATGTCATTGGATGTAGTCATTTGATAAGGTCAAACTTGGCCAAAAAAAATTGAAGCTTAACATAGTACCAACTAGTAAAATATAAATTTGAAGTTGCATGTGAATGTAAGTTGTTATTTATCCCGTTGTTGCGTGATACTCACATGCTTGCTCCTTGTTTGTTCTTCATAGTTATTCACTTTGGTCTAGTATCACTCAGTGCAACCCCCCCTCCCCCATTCTTTGGCGTAGGATTGTCATCCTTGTTTCTTGGGTTCTCAACTTAGCCCCACTTATCGACGCTTATGCACAAGCTGCTTGCTTATGCGCATTATTGCACCACTCTAATTGCTTTCTATAGTTTTCACTATGGTCAAGTTTTGATCCCCTACCATTCCATACATCATTTGCATCTTTGTTGAATTCAAATCAGATTGATTCTCTTTCCAAAATTATATAGAATATTTTAGGAAAGTAGGCTCCAATCAAGAGAGAGGGGAGGGAAGGGGTGTCTAGGTTCAATGTATTTGGGTTAGGGATTAATTAATCAATCAATTTCAGATTTGATTAATTAATAGGACGAGGGAAGCTTCCAAAGTTAAAGTATTTAATTAGGAAGGATTTGAAATTCAAATTTGATTAATTTGAATTTAAATTCCTTTCCAAATTAACGATAATCTAATTAAGGAAAGAGGGGGGTTTTGGAGGGAATTGGGGTTAGGGATTAATTAACCAATCAATTTCAAATTTGATTAATTTGGGAAGTTTCCTAAAAGAGATTTAATAATTAGGAAAATAAATTTAAATCAAATCCAATTAGAAATTTAATTAGATCTAATTTAAGTAACTTTCCTAAAATAGGGATTTTTATTTAGGACACAAATTCAAATTAAAAATTGTGTGAATTTTAAATTCAAATTTTGTTACCAAATTAAGAAGGCCAAATTGGAAGGGCTTTGAATGCAAGATGAAATTTGTGGAGCCAAGGGAAGAGGGAGGAGGTGGTGGTGGAGTGGCCGACGGTTGGAGGAGGGGAAGAGGGAAGCTTAGCCGGTAGCTATGGAGGGTTTGGCCGGCGGTCAAGGGAGGAGGGGTAGAGCGGCTGCTAGAAGAAAGAAGAAGGGGAATTAGAGAAGGAGAAAGGAAGTGTGGAGAAAGAAAGATAAACCATGAGCCCGGATGCTTCCTGTGGCTGACGGTGATGCGTTGCCCTTCACCAAGGGACTTCAAGCCATGAGCCTGGACCCATCCTGCGGCTAGTGGAAATTACGATTCTCTCTCTTAGGAACTTCCACTCTCCTAAGAACTTCCATCGTTTTCAAGAACAAAGTGTGGAAACAATTTTTTTATTAATCTATCATTGCCTAATACAAGAGCAAGCCTAATTCAAGAGCAAGGGCCTCTATATATAGGCCTTAAAAGAAACTAAAAGACAACTTTTCCCCTTGGGCTTACATAAGACAAGACCCTTAAGTAAGGGTAAAAATGAAAAATGCATAATTAAATCAAAAATACAATTAATAAACTAAGATAAAATGAAGGGATGTTGATCTTCGTATCTTCCTTTGATTAACGTCCACCGTCGGATGTCTATATCAAGCGCTGTCTCCTTTCGTCTCACCTTCTCGATGTGGTCATCTTCACTTTCATTGCCTAGTGCTATCCTCAGCTGTTTATCCTCCTTGTCGGTGCTTTTTACCCTGATGTTGAGGATTTGCCTCGTGCTTCTTCTCTTTAAGCACATCTCAGCCATTCTTCTCTTTGTCTGGTTTTCGAGGGCGGCTAAATATGCTCCTACCTCTTCTTGTGATGTGCTCATCATCCTGAAGGGTCTCATCGCTCATGATCTCATGTTAGCATCCACTCCTCATACTCCTGATTTCAATTTTTGCAAATCCTGTGGACTATGGTGGCCAAGGATGATGCTTCCATTGACCATTTCTTCTTCTGTTCCTACTGTAGTGTGCTTAATCATGTTGAGGGTTTATCAACTTATACAATTTGCTTAATCATGTTGCTTCAATTACTCCTGTCAAGCCTACTACTATTCACACTCTTTATGTGTTAATGTTGTTAGTCTTTTGTAGTTGGATCCATCTTTCATATTCTTTTTTTAAATTTTCAACATTATTTAGATGCTTTCTGACACAAGACATCTAATATATTTAATGGTAAACTAAATTTCATTTTTTCTGAGATTGAGATCTTTGATATGACAGCACCATTTTCTTTCACCTTGGTTGGTAAATTTTCCTCTGCCCTCTTGAGTTTTGAGATTATTTGTATTTACGTTTGATTAGTGAGTTCTCTGTTCGACTTCTTGATCTTCTTCATATACTTTCTAAACTATCCTTGGAAGCATTTTATTTTTGAGGAGCCTCCTTTTATCCAACTATGGGCAGTTTTTCCTTATCTTTGTGCCCACTTTATCAATTCATCTACATTGTACTTGATTCAATTTTTGGCAAACTTCTTAAAGTGGATGCTGGTATCACATGACTCTAGATTATCTCTGGTCTATGTTCTTGTTGAAAGAGATGTTTCTAAGGATTACCACTTCAATGAGAAAGACAAGGATTGTCCTTCAATGAGAAAAATAAAGAAATGAAGAAAGGAATTTCCGCCACTAAATTTTGGTGGAAATGCCACCGCAAATCCTCTGCAAACAAATCGACGAAAATTTTCGTCGCCATTTTCGACCAAAAAAATTCCGCCGCAACATGATAACTTTCCTGTAATGTGCTATGTTGAAAAATTGCAAATTATGGATTTTGGATCTTTGCTACAGTAGAAAAATCTCATCTTAGAGGAAACTGGTCAACAAATAAGGAAAGATACAACAAAGTAACAATAATAATTCCAATCATTCAAAGGGAACAATCATGCGAATGACACTGTGATCATTATCATCCTTTCAAAACCAATGACTCTGGGAATGCGAAATATGTGGCTTTAACAATTCTCGGACTAGCGGCTCCTATGAACAATAAATAAACACAGTCAGCTCCTAAGCAGAGGACTGGAAATTATGCTGAAATAAGGATTAATAGCAACAATTTAGTGATTGTTGCAAAATCATGAAAACAACCAGAACAACCGGTTGGAAACTAAAACCAACATAAAGAAACAAACTAAACCAACACATATTTTATAGAACACAACCTGTTCTAAGTAGGTTCATCATCATACACATGGTTATAACAAGGTAAACATCAAAACTGCGGAATCAACTAAAGCTCAAATAATTTTTTGCTTGCCTTTGTCGTCACATCCTGTCACATCCTGTATTTCTGACAAGTTTAAATTTTTAGATTTTCATTAATGAGTGCTGAAGAATTAAGAAAGGGTTAGATCTAAGATAGTATGGATAGAAATTATTCAAAAAGTTTGGCAAGATTAAGCTTAACACCTTAGATGACACTTATCAAAAAACAAATTAAAAAGAGTTGAGGAATAAAATGGTTCTATGGCTTTTTACCGAGTACCAAAATAGCCCCTCAACTATTTAGAAGTCTCATTTTTAGTCCTTTGATTTGTTAAATAGGGACCTAATTGATCTAACGGAAGGGACCAAATTAGCACTTTTATATAATTGTGGACTATTTTGATCCTTTAGAAAAAATTAGGGACCAATTGAGTTCTTTTCTCAAATGAAAATTGAGGATTCATAAATTAATCCCAAAAAATTAAATAAAGCTAATGATGATGATAGTGATAAGTGCCCAAACCATTGATATGAACAATATCTTTATTCAGTCTTATGCTAATAATGTGTTATTTTAAGACGTTTGGCTTGCCTACTAATATTGTTCCAATGTAATTTTGTTTAATCATCTAGAATTTTTGTAGTACAAGAAAGCATTTATTTACCATGCAGTAATGTCAACTGTGCACAGAGAGCATGTTTTAGAACATTTTGTGATAAAATTGTGTAAATAACGTGTGTTTGAAGCTCCCCTGCAAGTTTTACTTGTAAATGTAGTTTAAACAAATTAAGTCCCCTTTACGTTGATGCAGATCCGAAGTTTTGAGTGTGGTGATTCGGCCATCTAATCAGCTGAAGATAACTTTTCTAGAGGTATTTCAATATATTTTTATTACGTATGATGGCCTTGATGTTTGCTTTTCCTCCTATTGTTTTAAATTTCTTGCATTATGCCCATGAAGAAAGATGATATATATATATGTTAAATTTAGAGAATTGGAGAGGGAAAATATTTAATTTTATTATACAAAATTATTCCTATTTATAGATCTACACAAGATGTCTTAATAAAGAAAACAAATAACTACATAATGATGCATAATTTCCTTAATATAATCCTTCCTAAATCAGCCACCCAAATATGGAAGGAGATTGGCGTGATCCAGGTGAGCCTCCCACGGATTTCCATTCTAGCCATGTGATCAAATGTCAAAGGACGGCTGGGATTTAATAGAGATCGGCGTGATCCAGGTGAACTTCCCACCGGATTCCCATCTTGGCCGTGGGATCAAGTTTCAAGGGACGGCTTGTGTTTTAAATATGTAGAATCATGATTAATGTATGAGGTACGAAGGAATGTTTCTTAAATATTTCTTTGCAACATGGTATTCTCTAATTTGATAGTGTTTAGCTTTGTGAATTTTGAGGTTGTTTAAACTTGTGTGCGGATTTGATTCTAGATTTGCATTCTTATTTATTTATTAGGACTTCTGAAGTTGCTTAAAAAATGTCTTTGTGCATGTATGTTCATGGATGAGACTTAGATACTCGGGTCTATTGTTTAAATTGATGGTGAAATTGATGGGGGTATTATTAGTAGAATTCAACTTGGATGGTTGAAGTGGAGGAATGCATATGGTCTGCTGTGTGATAAAAAAGTACCCCTTAAACTTGAAAGAAAATTCTATAAGATGGTGGTGAGACTTGCAATATTGTATAGCGTAGAATGTTGGCCATTAAAAGAGAGCATAAAATTAAGTCAAGCATTGCAGAGATGAGTATGCTCAGGTGGACGAATGGCTTCAATCGTAGAGATAGAATGTGAAATGAGTATATACGTGAAAATGTTGGAGTAGTTCCAGTGGCAGATAGGATTAGAGAGAGTCGTCTTAGATGGTTCAGTCACATAAAACGTCGACCTTCTAATGATCCGATTAGGAGAGTAGATCTGTAGATGTATTAGATTTGACTTACCTTAAGAAATGTAATGGTAGACCTAAAAAGACTTGGTTAGAAAATATTAGATATGACCTTTTTTAATTAGATTTAAATGATAATTTGACTTTTAGCAGGATGCAATGGAGACAAAAGATTCATTTAGCTGACCCCACGTAGTGGGATAAATGCTTGATGTTGATCTTGTAATTTCATTCTTATTAATTAATTTCTTAGAAATGTCATATAATCCATGCAACTTTTGACATATTTATATCATTGGTTGACATCTAACCCATTAGCCCTAATAACCATTGATAAAATTTGGACAATCAAATATATCAATTATCAATGGTCCCTCTTCAAGTTGGATGGTTGAAGTGGAGGAATGCATATGGCCTGCTGTGTGATAAAAAAGTACCCCTTAAACTTGAAAGAAAATTCTATAAGATGGTGGTGAGACTTGCAATATTGTATAGCGTAGAATGTTGGCCATTAAAAGAGAAGCATAAAATTAAGTCAGGCATTGCAGAGATGAGTATGCTCAGGTGGACGAATGGATTCACTCGCAGAGATAGAATGTGAAATGAGTATATACGTGAAAACGTTGGAGTAGCTCTAGTGGCAGATAAATTTAGATAGAGTCGTCTTAGATGGTTCAGTCACATAAAACGTCGACTTTCTAATGATCCGATTAGGAGAGTAGATGTATTAGATTTGACTTACCTTAAGAAAGGTAATGGTAGCCCTAAAAAGACTTGGTTAGAAAATATTAGAAATGACCTTTTTTAATTAGATTTAAATGAAAATTTGACTTTTAGCATGATGCAATGGAGACGAAAGATTCATTTAGCTGACCCCACGTAGTGGGATAAATGCTTGATGTTGATCTTGTAATTTCATTCTGGGCTCTAGAACGAATTCTAGAGATTGGGAGAGTGCGATCCTCCTCTCGAATAGAGGATCCTTGTATCTTTGCTATTTTTCTTCCATCTACTAGTAAAATACAAGCTGTTCTTCCAATTTTCTCTCAGCTTTTCCCTGTTTTTTCCCACTGTTTTGCTGTTTTTCCTGCTGCGAACAGCAGTTTGCATCAAGATTTGCTGTAGAAGTGATTTGGAAATACTTGAAATCAAGTATTTCCTATCAAACTTTTGCCTCTCTTTGCGGAGGTCATCATAATCTATCAACTTATTTTCATGATATAACTTTTTATTGGTTTCTTTTAATTTAATATCATTATTATTGGCATTTAAAATTGTTTAGAATTGATGATCATATGTTACCAATCCATTTAATTAGCATGCATCAAAGTTAAACATATATGGAAAAGTCAACATTTATATACTTAAATAAACATTTATTTTTTAAAATAATTTTAGAAATTGAGCTAGATGAAAAAATCTTGAATTTATTTAAACAATTCTATAAAAATGGCATTAGACTAGTTGAGATTAGTATGCCCTTCTCAATATGAAAAAATATTTACTTACATGCATGTAGTAGTTCGATGGAATTATAGAAATTAACAAACTTAGGCCTATGAATAATTTTCTCACTATTTGAGAGATTGAGTATCTCAGCTAAATCATAGGATCTTCTTCGGGATGAATATCCTAATTTTTATTGCCATGACACCTTGTTCTTTTTGTAAATAACAACAATTTCCTCAATTCAATACAAATTCTTGAATTGGCAACTCAAGACTAAATCAGTTATGTTCAAATAATATTTCGACTTCAAAATAATTTCTTCTCATTTAAGCCTTCAAACCTATGAACTTAAATCCAAACTCAATTTGCTGAAAAACAATATTAAAAATAGGTTACCTAAATTTCTCAAATCTCTTCTTCTCCTTATGTTCTTTTTCTCATCTTCTTCCCTTCTTCTCCTTCTTCTCTTCTTCTTTTTCTTTTCTTTTGCTTCTTCGCTTCTTATCCTTTTTTCCTTCACTATTTCATCCTACCTGAGCCCCACTTTTTATTTCTGCTCTAGCCACAATTATAGGAAGATAAAGATGGTTTGGAAGGATAAGGCTTAGGTGTAATTGTTAATATATAAATAATAGTGATTTAAGTTAATTGGATATGCTTTCTATGCCTGGAAACCATGAAATGGATATGAAGAGATAAGACATTTAAAAAATTAAGAGTTTGATAAAAAAAATTCAGTATATTTTTCTAATTTTATTTATGCTTATATAATAAGAATTTCATGTTTATGATTTGAAGATTTTATTAGCATTTGTCTAAAAACTAATTTACTCTTATTTAACTAAATATTTGGATAAATTATTTGATTTATCCACCAACCACTTTGTTGAGCGGTATCATCTTTGATCTCTAAATTAGATGTTAGAGGATAGAATCCATAAAAAAATGCTTTGATTTATTCTTATTCATGCCTAAAGTAAAAAAACTACTCCTTGAATCGTTCTTCAAGGCATCTTTCATCGAATCTTATAAGATTATATGTTACGTGCATGGGTTCTATATCACATATTCTTTATGATATGATTCAGAAATTACTTTCTGTTCTACTACACATTTTGGATTCCTATCTATGTTCAGCGGACTGTTCAAGTTTTGTATTGATGTGATTCAAAAATAATGTTGTTCGTGACTTTGGACTTCTTTTTGGTTGGCAAATGATTCAGTTAGTTGCCGTATTGTATGAATTGTCCCAACAAGCGCCTTTCTATTTTGTTCACATGTTACAATATAGTTTTGTCTAAGAACCTAGAATTCTGTACTAAATTTGTGATTTTGCAAGTTTGGCACTGTAGAAAATATTTAGGTTTTGTTTGGGACAGCTTTCTTACTGCTTCTTAAAGCAGATTTCTAGTATAAAAATTTTAATTTTTAAACTAAAAAGCCATTTTAACAAGCAATAAAAAAGCTATCCAAAACGAAGCCTTAGTCTATTTCGAGGGGTATGAACGTTATTTAGTATTGTACGGGCATAAATTGAAGCTTGTCCATTTTGTTGCCTGACATGGTTCATGCTTTTTCTGTGACAGGCCAAGGATATTACTGATATAGGATCTCTTAAGACGTCGGCAAAAATCTTTGTTCCTGGTAAACCTCAAAATTGAAGAAATTGTTTTCTGCATGATTTGATTTGAAAATCATAACTCCAAAATTTTGGAGGAATTCTCTTGTTCAATCTTTAGTAATGGATCATTTGGTTCTATTTAAGTACAAAACATATTTTATTAAACTATGAATTTTGCTATATCACACAATTTGACACATAAAAGTAAGATTAATTCTAAATTCTATAAACCCTTAAAATATGACAATTTCGCTTTCACGTACAAAATGAGTGAAAGAAAATCCACAATGTTTTGAAAACCATACTGGATTGGCTTGTTCGACCAATTTGAACTTGAACTAGTTAGGTTATCGGTCCAATCAAGTTTAAAAATTGGATTTACCTTAAACCAGCTTGAACCGGCGTAAAATGTCTGACTCGACCGGGAACCATGAAACTAATCCTGATTTTGTAGAACCAATTTGGTTCAAATTGTAGTCTTCTATAAATCATTAATTTAAGATCCAAAAGGTTGAAAAATTTTACCCTAAAATTTACAAAATATAATTTTATTTAGTTATAATAATATAACTTAAAAAACCCAGTCCTATTCTCCTCCCAATCCCGATTTCTAACCCTACCAGCCTCTCTCTCATATGTAAAGAACCGAAGGGGTGAAGATGTCGCCTCACCCTCGACAGTCAGTTGCTTCCCACCCTTCTCTCTCTCTCTTTTCATTGGATATCAGAAGGCATACCGAATATCCTCCTTTGCTTGATAGGATGCAAGTTATTTGCTCTAATTTTTTATTCCTTTCAATGTTTGACTTCTTGAGGGATTATAAATGTTCTTATGATATGTAACTGGACATCAGAAATTTCTTTTTTTCCCTTTAAATTTTACATTAATCCTTATATCAAGGCTTTCTGTAGGTGGTGCAAACTTGTATGCTGCCCGTACATACAAAATCAAAGAAGAAGAAGCTCTTAGGTAAACAACAAAATACCATCTTTGATTCTCCAGGCTAAATTCACTTATTAAACAAACCAGTAAGTTAACCTACTTTCTTACTTTAAAGAATATATTTTAACAACAATTTGGATTAAAATATATACTTGGCTTACACATGAACTGAGTAATTGTTACTCAATCCAAAACGTTTAAATATGAGATGATCAATTTTATGTGTTTAATGCTTATTCAGGACGTACTACTTCTATGAGTTTGAAATTGGTGGACAGCATGTTGCTTTAGCTGTTGGACTTGATAATGGTAAGGTAAGTTATTGTGGTGCCTCTGGAACTTATTCCTTTCCTGAATTTTTGTTTGAGTGTTATCATATCCACATTCATTTGGGATAAGAATTCTTGTTACTTAGTCGCACAAATTTCCAATTTCATTATAGTACTGACTGTTGTTTTTTCAAGAAGAATCTTGCACAAATTGTTTTTAGCTTTTCCTATATATCATGGGCTAAACATATTATTATTTTTTGTATATGAAGAGTTTACTGAAATCTGCCTTCTATGAATCCTACTCTTTACTGTCAAGTCTCTTCTGTGCTTATGGCTTACACTCCTTACAGTTGTGTTCCATTCTAGACATATTCTATCCTAGTTAGAGTAAATTCAATAGGTACCTTCAACATCAGATGTTTGCCAAATTGAAAGTTTCCTCCTACTAGAACTGTAGAAGGCTACATGAAGTTTAAGGTTTTGTTTGGGACGACTTTCTTACTGCTTCTTGAAGCACCTTTCTAGTATAAAATTTTTAATTTTTAATTTTTGTATTAAAAAGCTGTTTTAAAAATCAGCAAGAAAACCATCCCAAACGAAGCCTAAACCAAGCAATGATGAAGCCTCTTTGAGCTACTTACTTTTTATTTGCATGATTCTCTTTTGGTAGCTGAGCTTAACTTTTTCCTCGCATGTGCTTTTTATTCAACATGCTATTGGTCAATTTGCTTCCTTGAAGACACCTATGAAGATGTGGCACTGAATCATTTCTGATATTTACAAAGTAGGAAAAAAAAAACTTGGGTTATTATTTTTAGTGTGCTATCATGCTATGGTAGTTGGGCAGTTCGATTCAAATTATAAATACTTTCGCATGAACAGAAATTATTCTTGAATTATGTGATTTTATTGGCATTGCATAAATCATGGACATTTATTTTATTTAGAGTCCTTTTTACATCTACGGATCTACCAAAGCTTATAGTTCCATGGCAGTTAAGCAGTTGCTTACAACACAAATGTAAGGTTCGAAGTAATCTATTTGATTATTTCAATTCATCTTAGGCTCTCATCAGGAGAAATTATTATGTGAGGAGTCTGGACGTAGAGTTACATCCGGACTCCAATAAAAACTTGACACATGTCCTTATACATAGTGTGTATAAATTTATACGTATTATATATAATTGTGTACATAGTGTGTATATTATGTATATAAGTTTGTATACACAATGTACATAATTTTGTTTTGTGCATAGTGTGTACTACACTCTGTGTAGAAGGACACATGTCGCATTTTTATTGGAGTCCAGATACCGAACATATCCGGACTCCGCACGTAATAATTTTTCCATCAGAAGAAGCAATATTTCTTACTAAAGCATTTCCCACATTATTGCTGATCATACAGTAAAATAGTATCTCTACAACTTGAACACCCTTTAATTGCAGGGTACATATCTTATTTGAAATACTAAACTATCTTCATATAAAAGTACTTTCTAATAAGCTCCACCATTTGTTAAAAGTACTTTCTAATAATCTCCACCATTTGTTATCAATGTTCTCATAAAATCTGGCATTTTGATATCTAATTGGTTCAGTATATGCCAGGCATACATTGCTGGAGCTGCTGCCCCACAGATTAAATGGAAAGATGATGGCATTAAGCTGCGTTCTGCTGCCTTATCTCTTACTGTTCTGTGAATATTTATCAGTCTCAGAAAATATCATCAAGAGACCAAACAAATCAATATATTATCCAGTCACAACTCTCCCTTTGAAGATAACTTTCTCTTCAGAAAATCAGTCAATCGACTCAATCTGCAATGTTTCATGGTGGCAACAGTCAAATAACACTGCTTCTCACTTGAGTGATCAAGTAACAAAAATTCCAATGCACTATTTTCTGTCTGCAAACTTGTTTAAGCTACAAACCAGAGGTACAATATGTTGGAAATCAAGTTTATTTCATTTTATCCAGAGAAGCTTGAGTATCAGTTTCATGATATTTTGCATTTAAAATATCACATTTTCTAAATTTGGTAAGCGAGTAGCAGAAAAACTTTAAGGCTTCATTTGGAATAGCTTTCTTACTACTTTCTAAAATGACTTTTTAGTTCAAAAATTTGTTGAAAATAGTAAAAAATTGCGATCTAAAACTGCCCCAAACGAAGACTAGACTTGATACCTGCTGCAGATCAGAAAGCTTTATTCTGTTGCTGGAGAAGTTGTTTTGGGGAGTCCTCTGCTTATAGGATTTCCTGCAACTCAATATAATGCTAATATTATTAACATATTCAAGATTTATTACGAGCGAAGGCAAGTTGAGTCGAGATCGAGCCACCTCAGGCTGAAGCTTGAGCTTGGCTAGTTAATTGAGTTTGAGTTCGAGCTAAATTTTATAAATTTGAGCCATCTCATTTATTATGAAAATAATAAATTTGAGTCATCTCATTTTTTTAATAATATAATAACAAAAATTTACAATTAAAGCAGAAATAATAAGAAATCGACTGAGATAAAGAAGATATATCTAATTTCAAAATATTTATAAGAAGTTTGTATTTTAATTTTTGAATTTAAAATATTATTTTAAGTGTATTTTATATTAATATTTTCAATTGAGTCGGCCTATGAGTTAATCAGTCAAGCCATTATTGACTAATTAGTTCATCAAATTCGGCTCATAAGATATATTTTAAGCTGAGCTTGAGTTGGCTTAGATCTTGCATGGCTATATTTCTATCTTCATGAAAACAAATAACCTTTTAAGCAATGATTTATTTAAAGTTGTTGGTAGAGGATCTGAATAGGCATCTTATGAATACTATATCTTTTGGACTATGGAAGAACTTCACTTGAAACTCTCCAAAGTTAAATTGGCTAAAAATGTTTAAAAGATTTCTTGTGTAAAGTACTAAGGAGTCATCAGTTAAAATAATGCATTATATTCTTGAAGTTATAGAAGTGTGCTTTTCTTTATAATTGGAGAAAATAGGATTATATAATTGGTAGCACTTGTTTGGTCGCTTATAATAGGTAAGAGGTTGCAAGAGAAGTATTTAATGATGATAGTTGGGCACTGTAACTTTGTAAGCAGGGCTATGATGGTTGGACGATAATGGTCGGATTTGAGCAATCATGTGATGGTAGTTAAGAGACAAAGATTGGATGATGGGATGGATTCTAATAGTCAAGTAATAATGATCAAACAGTGATGATCGGAAAACAGTGTTCCGACAATGACAATCAATCGATGGTGGTGGCTAGCGGTGATTGTCGATATTGAATATTGTGTGGAGTTTTAGAGTTCTTCGAGTCTCCAAATTCTCTTAAATCCTAAGTATAGGCCCCCTTTATTAGGAGAATGATAGTCTATTTGTAATAATTTGGTATTGGTATTTTTATAAATTCAGCCAAAATTTCATAACACTCAATTGATGATCCATATTAAATCATTTTATCATGTATCATTTAATCATAATTTAAGTGCCTTTAAGGCCTCAAAACTAAATGATCATAGGTTCATTAGATTCGTCTTGTCAAGCCGCTCAATTTCACTATAAACATGAAAGATTTGAAGGCCATGTGATCCTTTAATTAATATCTTGAATTTGTATTCATATCTCATGTGCTTGATTTGAGCTCGTTTAGATTCGGATCATACAAAATTTGATGTCGATGGATTCATCTTATCTAGATGTTTAGTTTGATGATATGATTGATGAAATCAAAATTTAGATGGTCCTAAATTTAATTCAAGAAGTATTCTATTTAAATGTTATATCGAGATTCTTGCTTGATCATATAAACTTTTTTTTTTGTGATGTATCAATCTTAATTTTCACTTAGCTTTTGTTCTTATTCTTGCAAAATATTTTAACCAAATTTTGGAGAATTTGGTGAGCTTAGTTGAGTAAGCTTTGCTTTGGATTTTACGTTAACTTTTTTTCATCAGCTCATTAAGTGACTCAAAGGAGTTTGTGCAAACGGATGTAGGCCAATTTAGTATCAAATCATATAAACAAAATTTATATTTGCACATTCGATCTTCTTGGTATACTTGTAAAATTGTGATTACCTGTAGATAACAGTGTATAGGTTTAAATCTTCGATGCTTGATGCTTAGTTTCTCTTTAAGTTTGTTGTCTCATGTTGCATATTTAGGTTTCGTTTGGGACAGCTTTTTTACTTATTTGAAAAACTATTTTTTAGTTAAAAAATCTCTTAAAAGCACGAAAAAAATAGTAATCTAAAGCTGTCGCAATCGATGCTTTGATGCATGATGCTTAGTTTCCTTTGAGTTTGTTGCATGCTTAGGTTTAGATTGGGATGACTTTCTTACTGTTTTGTAAAACTGCTTTTTAGTTCAAAAAACTCTTAAATACGAGAAAAAAAGTAGTTGTCTAAAGCTGTCCCAAATGACACCTTCGATATTAGAGTTTAACTTTGCATATGTATAGTAAATACTAAGTATGTTGACATGACAGTATGTGTAATGCAACTTGTTGAAGTTTTATTTCATTTCTTGGGTTACTTCTCAATTTATCCTTAAAATTTTCTCCTCTTTCACATATTCTCATTTCCTTCGAATTACAGATTATTTATCAATCATTCTATAAATCTTTCATAGAATTATCCTAAATATGTTATATATGTTTTCTTGCTAACATTTTAGATCAAATACTTCATAAATTTGAAATGGAAATTTTTTCATAACACAAATTTCTTATACCAAAATATTTTGGAACTATATATAGCTAATAAGATAAAAGCATAGCTCCATAACCACACTTGAATCAAGGAACATGTATTACATCTATATCTTTCATTTCCATTTGAAATAAGTAAATATATGTATCGGGGTGGAACCAGGAGGAGCTTAGGGTGGGCTGTTGCTCACCGTAATTTTTTTTTCTTGGAAGAATAAGTATTTTAACTATTTTGTCCACTTTTAATAAACGTTGTTGTCCAAATTTTAAGACATAAATTCATTATTCTATTTCATATATAAAATTATACATATCACAATTTTTTGCCCATCCTCAAAAGATAGGATAGTTCTGTCTCTATATATGTATTATTTCACTATTAAATATAAGAAGCAAACTATTATAAGCTACTTCACTAAGATAAACGCTAAAGTTTTTAATTTATTATCTCAACTAAGGGTTTTTTTTCTTTCCACAAATCATATGATCATCAAAGAAATCAAAATAAACGTCCATAAGTTTCTTCAAGAAGGTAGTATGCCTCATTTTGAGGAACTTTTATTAGGTCCAGTGTAAGGACGTAGAGGAACGTCCAGTTGGGGGCAAAATCCCGCCCAAAAACTCGGTATTTGCTCGGTATTGCTAGGTATTATTTGATAATAACGAGGAATACCGCTCTGTAAAGACCAATACCGAGTTATACCGAGCTATACCGAGCAACACTGAGTTGTAATGAGTTTTTTCTAGGAAAAACTCGGTACAACTTTTGTATAACTCGGTATTGCTCGGTATAACTCGGTATTGGGTCATCACGTGATGATATTCCTCGTTATTGTTTGGTATTGCTCGGTATTTCTCATTTTTTGACGCGATTTGGCCTTTGATCGGACGTTCCTCTACGTCCAGTCGGAGGACGTAATAATTGTTCCATTTTGAGTAAGAAGGAAATATGTAAACAATGAATAAAATCAAATAGCTAAAATTACAATATAAAATGTAAATAAAATAGAAAAATAATAAAATGAAATGTATGACCTATAACCACCCTTAATGAGTGAAGAGAATTATGGAATTGAACAAGAAAATAAAAGAATTAGAGAAATTCTTATGCTTCATAGTTTGGCGGATAATAAAATGATAAGTATGATTATACATATACATGTAATAAGCTTCGTGAAAATTTTTAGCTATAATATAACTCTAAATTAGGGGTTTTAATTATTAATCCGACTCGAATTCTACCTGAAAATATGGGTTCAAATCGATCCGTTTAACAAATGGGTCGGGTTTGGATTTCAAATTTTGGCCCGTTTTAAAAATTGAGTCGGGTCTTGATCAACCCGCTAACCCAAATTTGACCCAAGTCTGTCTTACTTGTCCATTTGCATCGCCTAGTTCAAAACTACTGCATAGTGCTCCGCGCGGTCCCATCACGCAGTTCTCACCCGAGCACATGCAATAGCGCACAGTTTTAACACCCCTACTCTAAATGCCGAATTATGATGAAATTATCTAAAGATTATCATTCAAAATAAGAATTAAATCTTCATATTTTCTTAACTATTTATACAATTTATCGAAGTAAATTTATGCTTTGAATTTTAACTTGGAAGAGTTTTCTATAATATTTTTAATTTATTTACATCTAAACATGTCAAAGATAAGAATTTAATGTTTTATGTGCTCAAGGCACTTTTTAAAAATGGCATAGGGTTGAATGATTACAAATATATATTTTTTAATTGAAAAATTAAATTCTTAAAATAATAAAATTTTTTTTGGGGACAAAATAATAAAATTAAATGCCTTATTTTAAATAATAGTATATATAAATAATATAATGGCATAAAAGTAAACTTTTGCAAATAAGTAACATTTTAGGTGGCCTTTTGCAAAATCACATTCTTTGGATTCTTCTCCTGCCGGCCCCGACTACTTAACGCTACTGAAACTGGCAGCGGAGATAGAAAGAGCGCGAGAGAGAGTGAGAGATGCCGGATGGAGAGAGAGAGATGCAGGAGGGGGAGGTTATCCACTCTTGGTCCGCTCCAAGGTCTCTCAGCACCAGTCTGATGTACTCCTTCGCTCAGGTACTGGATCGTTTCTGCTTCGCCGACTTTTAAGAGATTGTTTTGTTTCCTTTTGCCCTACAGCGATGATTTGCCAATGATAGATTACTTTATCGGTAACGATACATTGGATGATGCAAATAAATTATTTCGGAATGTTAATTAAGAAGGGGTTGTTCGGCAGCAGGTTTTGAGTTGCATTTATGCAAGATTTGAAACAAATTATGCCAAACGATTTTTGGAGGTTATTAATCTTTCTGTAAGGTGAAATGGAGCTTTCATTCCGTTTTGCCCTAAATCCGCGATTTGTTAAATCCTGTGGAAATCAATATTTAATGCGATTTCAGCTCTGTTGCAACCACTTCTCTCCTTCTTTGCTGCTGGGAAGGAGCAGGTGATTGGCTGTGGTGGGGTGAGAGAGGCGTGCACTTTAACTTCATTTTTGGGAGGCGATTGAGCGTGCGAGCTTTTTTTTTT